GAAAAGGGGATACGAGCAGGATACGGGCTCCGTAGGCTAATCGCAGGCCAAATGTAATCCAGGCATTAATTCATCACTTTCTTGGACACAAATAATAAATTGAATTATCAGACACTAAAATATCATCTTAGTGGTAAAAAATACAAAAAATAAAATTCATATAACTATTACCGTTTTGAAAACAGAAGCCAACAAAATAAGTCATTTTTGCAGATTTTTGCGAATCTGCAGATATGAAAAAGTTGTGAAAATAACTAAGTCCGCCTAATTAATATGAGCATATGTAATCAAATCAAAACCGAACATGATACATCAGTGAAACCTGATATACATAGGTTTGGAAAATGGAAATATATTTCATTTGAAATAACAAAAAAAAATCATAAATATTCATCAAATATGCAAATTAGGTAATTTAGCTAATTATATAATCGCGCACACATTATGCAAATTATGAAAGTCAAACCGTTCATTTTTTTGGCATTTTTTAAATCATATATTCATAGATCATATTTACACCAAATATTAACCTTAAATTCCAAATATTTTTGCAATGCCAATAAAATATGGCGATGGAAATTACTTGGATCACCGTCACAGCTATTTCCTCATGTGTTTCACAAATTATTCAGAAAAACAGATCATATGATAAGAATTTGCACACTTTCAGCTACATCACAATATATTTGTATTTTTAAAAGATGTCAGATTTGAGGATTTATGACGATTTTCCGAGAAACCATTCAACAGGCCATAACATTCCACAGGGACTAAATTCTAGAGTAACAAAAAGTTTAGTGACCCCAGTACAGTTGTGGCTACTTTGTGTGTAAACAACAATTTGATTCAATGAGTGAAACACATGAGGATATGGCATTTTTTGTAGGGTAGTTTTATACATTGAGGTGCATTTTCACCACGCAGAATAACAATGCGAGTCAATGGGCGATCAGAGGGCCATGTCACACACTGAAAAGACAATATTCTAATTAAATAATTTAACATATTTCCCACATGCATATAACAATGAAACTACACAGAATTGTAGTTAAAGGTATGCTTAAAATATATGTGAAATAAAAAAATTAAAATATTGTTGAGTTTTTTTAAAAATAAATTTACAAAAAATGCTATTTCTACCAACTGACTGCTGTTGTGTGTGTGTGTGTGTGGGGGGGGGGTGTGCGTGTGTGTTTGAGCATGGATAAAACGTCTTTTATATGGAGAGAAAAGTTTGGGATGGAAATTGTTTTTTGATCATTGCTTACAGTTTGTGGGTGGTGGATTTATTTTTTTATGTGATTATGATTTAAACAAGATTAAACTCGTTTTAGATATTCCACCATACTATATGGAAATGTTGCAAGCATGGCAAGAGACAAGTAATTTAAGATATTTGGAGGGTTATATTAATCCAATTATTTTTAATAATCAGAATATATGTATAAATGGAAAAAGTATATTTGATAGATACTTGTTTGAAAGAGGGATTGTTCAACTGAATCATTTGGTTGAGAAAGGTCATGTTAAGCCTGTTAAATATTTTATGAACCTCGGTATGAAAGGTAATAATTTGCTTATGATTATTGATATTTATGATGCGATACCCAGGTTATGGAAGGATGATTCAGGGTTAATAGAATTCCTCGAGGTTGATTTGATAAGCTTTAATACTTATTTCCATATTTCTAGTAAAAAAATACAGTTTGTGGATGTGGGTTCAAGAACAATCTATGATTATTTCATCAAAGCACTGCAGCGAACGTATGATTTGCAGGTAAGGGATGGGCAAAATGACTATGATTTTATAGATAAAGAATTAAAAGAAATATTTGTGAGACCAAGAATTACTATACTCATTAGAAAACAACGTGAATTTCAATTTAAATTATTGCATGGAGCCATATACACTAATGAGCATCTTCATAGATTTGGTTTTGTTGGTGATAATTTATGTTCGTTTTGTAAGCAGGAAATAGAAACATACAAACATTTATTTTTATCTTGTGGGAGCGTTCAAAGGTTATGGCAGGCTTTAATACAACTTTTTGAGTTAGATGAAATTAAAGATTTAGAATGGCGAGATATATTTGTTGGGTTGGTAGGTAGTTCATATAGAATAAAAATGTGTAATACTGTCATTTTCATGGTGAAGTATGTTACATTTATGTCAAGATCGGGGGGGCGAGTACTAACTTTAGAAAAGATGAAAAAAAGCATTTTTAAGTATAGGGATGAGGAAAAGAAAATAGCAATTAAAATGGGAAAGCTAGGATCACATTTTTTAAAGTGGGAGCAGCTTAAGATTAATTAAGATTTGCTTTCTTCTCCACCGTGAGCTTGTTAAAAGCGTAACTCGATTTTGCGGCCTGGATAACTTATTTAGTATATTTTTCTTAAGTTGAGAATGTTGGCAGACATCCACTGAGTGAGTACTGTGTGTGTGTGTGTGGGGGGGGGGGGGGTGGGTGGGTGGGTGGGTGAGTATGTGTGTGAGTGGGTGAGTATGTTTGTGTGATAGAGGGTGAGTATGTCTGTGTGATGTAGGGGGCAGGGAGGGGGCAGGATTGTTTCAGTAAAATTATCTCCAGATTTGTTTTTTTTTGTAATATATAAGTAAATAACATTTACAATTGACATATTATGTTTAGGTACTTATACGTTTACTTTGTTGTTAAGTTATATTATACTGCAAATAAGTTTGTGTTTAATTATGTTTATGTAAAAGCATCAATATTGAACACGTTTATTTTATTCAATTGTATGTCAGGGTTTGTGTTACACATCTGGAGAAATAAAACAAAATTGTTAAAAAAAAAAAAAAAGTGTATGTGTGTGTGCATGGGGCAGACTGTGTGCACAGGCATTGTGATCACCCTATTAATACGTGATGGTACAAATTTTGCCGGGAAACCGGCTACTGATTGATATCATGTTCTCTGCATCATGTTCTAAGGCCCAGTCACACACAGGGGACGCATGGGGGACGCACGGCCAGCGCATTGGAAATTTTATAATTTTGGCCAGTGCGTTGTCGTTCGCTAGGTGTGCGTCATCATTCGTTACTCGTTCGTCGAGCGCGCTGGACTAACGCTATAAATTCGTCGTCATTCGCTGTGTGCGTCGGGATTTTTTGAGCATGCTCAAAAGTGTGCGCGGAGCTCGACGCATGAATGTACACGCCAAAGGGACGCCAGACATGCGCGGAGCGCGCTAGACCAACGCCAGACATACGTGGAGCACACGCCCTGTATACGCCCAGCGCGCTAGCAACACGCTATGCATTCGGTGTCAGCTCGCTAGCTTTTCCCAAATCCTGACAAAAGTCGGAATCACCTTTTTTCCGATTTTCAAAGCGCCGGCCGTGCGCCCCCATGCGTCCCCTCTGTGTGACCGGGTCTTTATAATTATGAAAGAATGCTCGACCGATATACCTGGCGCCACAACAACATACTACGCATCATGCTCAAACACATTAAAAACACTTCAAAAAAATTCCACCAAAGTATATGCAGATATAGAAGGAGAAAGCATCAATGGGGGCACCATACCACCAAACATAATACGTATTTATGTATCATGTATGGGGATCTTTCCTTCCTCATCATAATGTTACAATCTTCTTCTTTTACCCTGTTCTGTACTATACCACTTCTGTTTTCCTCTCCTTTTCTCCTTTTCGCATCTTCCTTTTCCCTTTCCCTCTATCCCGGTGCTCCTTTTTATCACATATATTATTACACTGTTACTTGTATTGCTATTGTTAATGTACTTTGCTATTGTATTTAAACAATATTGAATGGATATTTTGCACCCAAAACCCTTAAACCGCAATGTTACCACTACCGGTCTATATGAATAGATCACGATAGGTCATGATTTATCAGGCCTCTTAAAGGTAGTGTACTCTTTTTGCAGCCAACATCAAATTCTGTAGAACTTTGCAGGAATTATTAATACATGTATGTCACGTATGTCCGATCTGTGAAATTTAAATATTAGCTGTGTGCTAGTATTCAAATCATGGAAGGAAACACGTTTACTTTCTAGACTTCACTGTCAGACACTATTGACTGGCTGACTTTTTTTTCCTTTGGTAATAAAAGATAAAATGAGGGAACATGAGCATTTGTCTACATCAATAACCTACTTCTTGTATTGGCCCAAATTATACTGGCTGAATCTTTGCACAGCGCAAAACGTACGACCATTCGTTACAAAAGTCTGAAAATCAAACTATTTAATAAATTTGGATGGTTATCTAAAATGAATATACAAAATATGGAATAGATTTCTAGTAGTGTATTTGTTTTTGTGTGATTATTGTTTTTGTTGCTGACACAATGCCGTTAAAGGACTTTTTGGGTTGTCAAACAGGATTTTAGGTCGTAGAGAAGCTTAGAATAACTTGAGTTTGTCACCGGCTATGGTTTATTTTTGCCCAATCCCTTGCCCTGTTACTGTTAGCGTCAATAAGCCGTTAATGTGAGTTATCAAAGTAGTAGCTAAAGGGGCACCCCCCCCCCCCCCCCCGTCGAATGACATGAATTGAAGTAAAAATGGAAACAAGAGAGGAAACCAAAGAAAAAAGGGATCGGCTGGGGAAGGCGTTGTGAAAAGATTATATGTTTATATTTTTTTTTCCACCTGAAAGGTCCGCCCCCAATGGCCTACGCTTCGCCACAGTAATTGATGTCATCATCTAGGTACTATTTTCTTTGACCCATAGTTTTGTATCACATGATAAATTCATCCAGAGCGTATATTCATGGAGCTAGAAGAGAGATAGCTCCATGGTATATTCATTCTTTTTTTCTATAACCTAGTGTGGGACTAAAAAGAGTCTATTCTTATACTATTTGCTTCAGTTTATGAACTGGAGGATGATTATCGTTCAAAGACGAACGCATCCAGCGGCTTATTTCAAGACTAGTTTGGGTGAAATTAACGACGAAGCATCATTTTCTGTGACTGAGTGGGAGATGAATGAAGTTGATATGTGGACGTGTTACCACATCACAAGCAAGTTCAGTCAGTGTCCCGCTGGTGTTGATCGCTGATATTTGCCTAGCTTTGAGGCGGACGGAGAAATCCTCCATCAGCAGTGGTGTCCGAAACATCCTTAGTGGTATCCCACCAAACTAGGGCACATCGATACCATTCCTGACCTTCTTCTTACTCCAATAATCAGTATAGTTTTTGTCGTGGGATTCGAGGACGAGTGGTTGGGTGGTACAACTATCTCTTCCTAAATAAAAACTTTATCGCGATTCGTCGTCTGCCTCTTTCCCGACTTCGCGGAAGTTTTAAGCTATCGATATTTTGTTTACCCCTCTGAGCTATAACATTAGGCGGAAGGACCGTGTCTGTGCGATCTCCCTTTGGGTTAGCACCCTGACAACAAGCACACGTTCGCCCGACCAGGCTGTAGTTGACACGTCGACACGAGATCGACAATTCCAACGACGCCTCGCCATCGGCGCGTTACCAGCATCGCTATCGATCCTGTATCAATTAATCAATCATCTAGTCGATAATCTTCGTTCGGTCGTCTGCGCTGGTGGAAAGCGAAAAGATTGGAACAGGCGCATTGTTTTTTTCTTGGAGGAGAAAGAACAACGGAGCCAGGATGAGGACTTTAATGGGGTTTTGTTTATTGGTGATCTGGTTGGGCTTGGTAGCCGCCAAACCTAGACCACTCTTTCTCAACGATGGTGAGGTGAGTTGAAAATTTAGATGAAATTATTACAGTTTTTAATATTTTAAGGAGAAAACGTACGATTGTAAAGCAGGAGTGAATGAATCATTATGAGCGGACAGGAACTCAATGGGAATTAACAACAATGTGTGAAGGGCGGGAAAAAACTGATGACGAGGAGCAAAATCGACGAGGAGTGCATGTATTACTATTGCTATTGCTATTTGTTAAGCCAAGATCGAGTTCATCATCGGAAATTATCGTAGAATGCCTAAAGCAAAAGGGGAATATCCTTGCAATCTCGATTGATGCAATGTCGACCTAAATGTATATGCCAAGGTTAAACCCCAAATCCATGATTTTCTACATTATAGAAGTAACTAGCAAGCAAATTTGGCATGTTTGGGTATCTCGACGAAAATGACAACTGGTGCACAACCCGCGTTTCGGGTTGGGAGTGGAGTTCAATGGGTATTGCTTTTATTTGTTCCCTGGAAAATAACTTAAGTGACGGAAATGTTTTGTGCGGTATCTTTCAAACGAATCGTATAAGTGTCATCGGCATCCGAGTCGTTTCCCTAGCTTTTTGCTTGTTAATCAATTTTTCATCCATTGACTTTACAACGGGGATTATAAAATGCTTAAGAACAGGTTGTACACACTCTCTCTCTCTCTCTCTATCTCACTCTCTCTCTTTCTATCTCTCTCTCTCTCTCCCTCTTTCTCTCTCTTTTTTGTTTTGTTTTGTTATTCTTCTTGAAGTTTCTCCTTCGATGGCGATGCAATGTGATTCACAATGTATTTCGACTGGGAGCCGAAAGGATCCAAAATGTAAGGGGTGATCATGTGGGATTGAGGGAAATGGATACCAAATGTTCAGCTTCATTCGACAGGTCCTCAAGTGCAACAGGTTGATGAGGGATCCATGGCTTGACGCTGGGTCAATTATGGACGTCGATCGGTCCATTATGGACGTCGCTCGGGAGGGGATTTGGAACGGTTCAGAAACGCATGTGGCATAGCGACGCGACATCTGCTTTTTGAATCCAACCCAATTAAGGGTAATATTTGAACTGATCTCTCTCTCACCTAAAAAGAAGGATCTTGGAGAGGCGGCACCCCTCCCCTCCTTCGTTCTATTTTTTATTTTGTCACCCCCTTTCTATTCTTCCTTATATATATTTGTTACCCTCTTTCTCCTATTCTATCTCTCTCTCCAAAACCCACACCCAACACACACGCGCACGCATACTCGCACGCACACTCGCACGCACACTCCTACATCTCACATACAAGATGAAGTCTAGAGATATGACCCCTCGCTCTCACCTTTTCAATTTAAAGATGAAGTTGAGTTCTGGTCATGCAATTGCATTGTGAAAGAAACGGTGTGGAACCGACCAGAAAAGGTTGATCATCTAGCATATAAGAATTTGTGTGTATTGCAAGGTTCTGGAATCATCAAAATGATAAGAAATGGGGCCAATTCTTGGTAAAGTTACAAACACTTGCACAGAAAGATGTATATGGGACTACACGAACACGTGGCGTAAAAAGCCGGCCCCCGATTTTTACGATGTTACATGCATATTTAGAATATGAAGGCATTTAAAGAGCCATGCTTTTTAGGGAACATGTCTTAATTTGATGTTCTTCCACACTTGTATAATAAGAATGAGTAATTCTCACAAATTATTTTTCACCTCTTCCCAGAACTCAACCTTCTCTTTAATTCTTACCTTGCCCCTTCTCTTCCTCATTTTTTTTTCTCGATTTTTTTCTTCTTCTCTCTGCCTGGCTTTCAGTCTTGAGCACACCCGCACGCACACCCGCACACTCCTATCACCTTGCACATACATTATGCACGCCTCACTTTTCCTTTTCCTTCATACCCTTATCATTTACCACTTTAAGTAATGTTTGTACATTCATAAGCCTACATGTGCAAGATGTATTTCTGTCTCGCAAAGTTCTCTTTGTTGTTAATTGGATGGTCAATGGTAATGGTAATTTTTTTAATAGTTTATTATGGGCAGCTCTTTCGTATGTTACCTTTGTGTCTTCTTTCATGTTTCATATGTAACGAAATCAATTACCATTGATTCAATTCATCATAAAGCTTCTTTTCCTCTATTCTCCTGCATGAATTTCATCTCCATGTGGTATAATCAGGGAGGTGTTTTAACTCACATACCCTGGTATAATCTTTATTGAAAAAAGGCCATCTGTTTATTTTGAATTGGTGAATTTCGATCCACCGACAATTGATCCGTGTTTTTATTTCGTCAAAAGTGTAGGTTAAGGGTTAGGACTACAATTGGAGTTTAGGTGAGATATAGGATAATAGTGAGAGTTATAAAGCTGGTTCCAGGACTGAATCTAGTATAGCCTTTGTCGTACTCGTACGAGCATGAGCCGTACAAGTTACAACCTCATTCGAGTCCTAAAATGTGGCATTTCCACGGTCCTGATACTGTTTTCACACTGGCAATATTTTGCTTAACCCCGTACTATAGGTGGGGTTGAAGGGTATCTTAACCCCACCTATAGTACGGGGTTAAGCTTATTCCACTTTCTTTTCACACTGGCAAAAATTTGCTTAACCCCCTACTATATGTGGGGTTAAAGGGGGGTCTTAGCCCTACCTATAGTCCGGGGTTAAGCCTATTCCACTTTCTGTTCAGACTCGTTTTTACCAAAGTGGGCTAACCCCACCTTTAGTACGGGGTTAACTAACCCTGCAAAATAGCAGGACTAACCTCGCAATTGTAACTCCTGCTAACTCCCCAATTGCGGTGCCAAGCAAATGAATGAGAACAGAAACGACAAATAGTCCGGGACTACGCAGTGAAGCGAATTAATGAATTCCATGGCTATGGCTAGTACGGGGCTAAGGAATTGCAGTGAGAAAAGCCAAAAAAAAATAGTCCGGGGTTAAGGATAGTACGGGGCTAAGCAAAGTACGGGGTTAAGCAAAACCAGTGTGAAAAGAGTATGAGATTCTCGTTAAAACTAGGTCGTCGGCTTCCCTCCCTGGGGAGCAAAAGGCCACCGATAAATTAAATTTAGAGATGGAAGGCATTGCGGTTCGCCGTGAAGTGGCTAGCCCTTTCAGCACGTGAAGGCTTAGGCATGGCCAGTCTCTCTCTCAAAAGCGCTTAGTCGACAAGTCTTCTCCGTTCATCGAATGTGGTTACACTTCATGGATTTATCCTTGTCGGTTTGTTAAAGGACTACCGTTGAACTTCTACGTTATGAAGTCACTGCATGTCATTTCTGGTATATTATTCTAAACATTTTGAAACAATGGAATAATTCATAGGGTTGACAATCCTGTTAATCAACCAAGAGCCGTTGCACTTGCTCTTGTGGTACTTCCTAACATTTGACGCCCTGACGGTTTGACGCGTTATAGGCCTACCAATTCAAATTCAAATTCAAATTCAAAATGTTTTATTAGATTATAATCCACCCAATCAAAGGATAACAAAATCTCAACATCATAGTGAAACAAAAAAATTGGATGCACATAGCAGAATAAAAATAACAAGAAATAGCAAAAATTAACGTATTACCACAAGACTCTTTGGAAATGCTATTATAATACAGAGATGATAATCAATTTAATTTCTCGTCATCTTTTTTTTTCTTAGCGAAATTGGCCTAATATGATATTTCAGAAATATTCCAATTCCAATTCGAATTCAATTTTGTTGCTTAAAATTCAAGCTTGTGGCGTCATACACAACAATATGAATATTAAAAATCACGAATAAGTTTTGCATCATCTACCCCACCCCAACCGATCCCTTACGATAATGATTGCGATTTGCAAACATGAACTTAACTTTCAAAGTCACAACGTGTTCGCTCTATCCGGAGGTAAATACAAGTACGAATACAAGGCGAATGTTCGTTTTTACAAATAAACAAGAGTTCGGCTAATGTACCATATATGCTTATGTTTCTAACATATTGACCTTTATGACTGTTATTGCAGACCCAATGAATATACATATTAACAGAGTGACAACCGACTGAACGCGTGTGAGGTCGAAAGTCGACCGGGGTCGAAGTGTTTGAAATACGTGATAACATGTTATGAAAAATAGAGAAAGGCACTATAAACCGGGTGCCGGGAAAATATTCCCAAAGTTTGGTACCCGAAAAGCAAAGTACCAAATGGAGTCCATGCAAGAGCGTAAATAAAAATTGAACGGGCTCGAGCCCCTAAAGCTCCAAAGAATATTGTACCGGAAAGGGACACTGTTTAGTCTATCCTGGGAAGGGTGTTACGTGTTGCGGAGGGGGTGAGCGTCGCTAAATATACAACCGTTGGTTTTACTCAACTCAAGCGTGTAGCCAAGATTTAATTTTAGGGGGGGCGGTAGTGAGCACGCGAATCACTTATAGAGCGCGCGATGCGCTCTCTAGGGGGGGGGGGGGTCAGGAAGGGGGGAGTTTCCCCCTTCCCGCGTGAAGCGCGGAAGCTTGACGTTTCATTGAATTATTAGAGAAAGAAGATGATTCGTTGTACCGTTCTCGACTCTTAATTATTTTTCTTCCTACGTCCTCTTCCTTTCTTCTTTCTCTCTCCCTCTTTTTTTTGGCCGGCGTTTTCTTTTTTCTCTCTTTTTTTTTTTTTTTGGTGGGGGGGGGGGGGCGACCGCCCACACCGCCCCCCATGCTACGCGCTGGACTCAACTCCAAACGGTACCATCCGGAACCCTGTATTAGAATGATACTATATTCACTAACGGTACAGTTGAACAGTCACAAGTGGGGGGGGGGGGGGGGGGGTCCCTGGGAACTTCCCCAAGGCAAAATTCACACAGTGTTTTCCTGGGCCGTGAATTGTCCCTTTCATGAAAAAATACCAGAGGTATACCCTACTCCCTATGCATAAAAAGGTGGCCCTTAAAGGTACTATGTCCTATTTGCAGGCACAAAAAATGAAAAGGTTAAATTCCAACGGCATTTGAAAGATAATACTAATTTAGAACTTCCCTAAAAGAAGGGGG